GAAATTGGCGTATATCCCCAATGAAGGGAGGGGTATGAGCTAGGTTATGAAACCGCAAGATACCCACTGGACGTAATTTGGCTCTTTTCAACGAAACGACAGGGTTCTGAAATTTAAAACCTCGGTAGGTGAAGCGTTTATACCCAGGTTCTGCCCCCATGTTCAAGCCGATGTTTGTGTTCCGGTAGAACCTGACATGTGTCACAGAGTCATTCTATGGAGGTCTGTCAGCAGAAGAATCGCAATTCTGCAAATTAGACTTGGCCTAGTTACACGTTGCATACGGTCGTCCCGTAGAGAGAGGACATGCGTCCTTACTGAATGAAGTAGAAGGCTCTCTGAACGATGTGCCGGTATAAGGAATCCAATGCATTGGTGAGGAATTTCAATGTACTTGTCAGAGCGGACACTGAGATTTGTAAAATATGACTGGAAAGAATATGACGGATATAAATTTTCAAGACCTGTTGGACGTTAAAAATCAGATTAACGGAGTACAGAAGAGTCATCAGGTACCGTAGCGCTGATCATTCTGGTTTGTTGCTCAGGCCCTCGAGAATGGTCGTGATTTTGACAACAGTAATGGTAATGGTAATGGTTGTCGATTGACACCGGGACGAATTGAGGTTATTAACCAAGGAGTCACCACACATCGTTGATGGTAAAACCAGAACTTGCAACGGTTACGTTGGCTCCATTGACAGTCCCGCGGCATGGAGCATGATTTATGGCTTCTTCGGAGACCCAGCTACCGTCCAGCCAATCTGGTCAATTACCAACTGACTCAGCAGTTTGTCGTTGTTTCATGTTCATTCCCTGATGATGACCGATGCAATTCGATCGAAACGTTGGAATTATTGTAAATAAAACTACTGTATCTTGTTTCTTCGTACTGTCAACCAGTCGAAGCAGAAGATCTATCACCTTCAAATAAAATGACTGGAAGGAACTTCAAAAATGACTTTAATAATAACGGCATGTAATTACTGTGTTTTTAACGGCGTGTAATTACTGTGTAAACAATGGACCGAAAATTATGCGCATCTCCTTTGAGCGTCGAAACGTGCCTAAATACACTTGACTTCTGGAAATTTTTCCACAGAAGTCGATGGTCGACTCGAAGACGGTATTATTTGACTTATGATGCACTGTAATGAACGTTTGCGTTCAGAGAAGCTCAGAGCCGTTCTGACGTCAACTTCTTGTTGGCACCCTCTGCTGCATATGATAGATTGCTACTCAAAATCCTGTCGGCAAAAGAAACCAGAGAATCACATTGCAAACATTATCTTTCGCAGTTACGAGGGTGAAATCTGAAAGAAACATCGCATGACGTTTTGAACGGATTCCAATGATGAGTCCTGACTTAGAAACTGAGTGACAACACTATTAGAGCAACCAATCCCTTGCTGCTGACGAATACAGTGGTTCATAACGGTTGTTTCAATGCCAGATGATCAGAAACGAAATTCCTAGAGGACGCGAGAGGTTCACTTGGCTGTCAACGAGAGGAAGGCTACATTCAAGAGATGGCTTACACGCAAAAAGCCTTCAATTCGAATGCAGTACAAGAAGCGCGAAACATGGCAGCGAAAGCAGTGGCGAAAGCGAAAGCTGACTCCTGGGAAAAGTTCGGTGAGGTGTTGATTTCATACGAGATACAAAGTAGTCTAGCGAACTATCCAGCACCTCTGAGGTGAAAAAATGGGCGTCTGATAGTCCAGAAGAACAATTGCAGAGGTCCTTATGCCAAGGAAGAGGATATTCTTCGTCGATGGAGAATACTTTGAGGAACTCCTTAACCCTGAGCAACCGCAAAAAGATTCGTATGAAAAGCAGCAGAGAGCGAATCTGTAGATGAAATCAGACAAGCTTAAGTAGAAACGCTGCTGGAATCAAAGAAATTCGCCCCTAAACGCTTAAAACGTCAGGCGAACAAAGCAGGTGTTGGCATACACCTGTCTCTCAAACTACAATGGCTACGGAGGCGACACCAGAAGCCTGGAGCACCCCTTTTCAAGAAGCGGGAAAAGAGGGAGTACTACGAGCCTCTTGGATAAGTCCACGCCAAACTGCTAGGAAGGAGATGCCGCGCAATAGCTTACTTTAAAATACAAGAAGGTCAGTGCGGCTTCAGATTTGACTGCAGCACTTCTGCCCGGACATTCGCCTTACGTCGGGTTGTTGAGACATCGTGGGAGTTCACAGATCCGGTGTTCATGTGCTTTCTTGACCTAGAGAAAACTTATATCGCAATAGTTTGTGGCATGGCTGTGAACGCACGGGATCGATGGTCAGTTGCTATGGGCCATTCAATCACTATATCCTGAGAATAGGTGCTGTCAGATTAAATGGCATTAAGTTGAAACCCTTCAACATTGGCACTGGTTTCTGCCAAGGCTGCGTCCTGTCCCCTATCCTATTTGTGTTGTACATGGATAGAAGAGTCAGGAGCTGCCAAGGCAATGAGGGTATCGGTGTAGGAGATGTGAAGACGAGAAAGTTGCTGTTGATTTGTTGCAGATGACACCTTGTTTTTAGGTGACATTTTCTACAACTGACCTCGGAAAAAGGCGAGTGCGAGGTGCATGGCATTCGCATGAACGTAGCTAAAGCGAAAAGCTTGATGTTTTCTCGATCTCTTGTTAAATGCACTCTTCAGATAAACGGATAAGCAGTTCAGCAGT